TGTCCTTCGTCGAGGACTTGAAATGAGCTTTACTTTTTGTAAGATCGAAAAACTGGTTTTATCTCCAATGAGGGCCCAATTTTTGAGGTGTTGAATTGAACTACGGCTGTCAGATAGTATCCAAGTATTTCTAAGATGCCCTTCACTCAAGATTTTCTCTAGTCCCCTGTCGATTGCAATTAGTTCGCTTCGTTAATATGTCTTATACACTAGTGAATTGGTATTTAATATTTACAGTGGAAGTTACACCACAGAGGTTTGTGACCACTTAGATCAGCTTGCGTAAGGACAGAGGGTGCGCGGTATCGGTCCTCGTTTAACTGTTCTTCCGTAAAGTGCTTGGCTTTGCGCCAGGTACTCGGGTTACCAAAGCAAGGGAGCCATACCCTCTTCAGAAGGTCAAAATTGCGATGGCATGTCTTCGGATCATCCTCAGGGATGTTTCCCTGACCGTCGCCAATAGCCCATTGTACAGCTCTAGTGCGATGTATATGAAATACCTACCTACCTACCTAGCTTAAAAAACTCAACGAATTTCAATATATGATTTAAACTACAATACTATGGATATTAAGAAACGTTAAAAAATTTATGTTGTTAAAGTTTCTTAAAAACGGATATAAACTTAATAAAATATTTAAAAAAAAAAATCAGTGGTGAAATTCTGTTTTTTTTTTCTTCTTCTAAGAATGACCCAGAACCCTAGCCTATATGGCTTGTGTCTGTTATCGTCATCGAATGAGTTGCATTATAGTACTTTATTTACGTCGCTTAAGGTTTCGTAGAATGGGTTAATGGCGAAAGTCTGAAAAGCATCCCTGATGATGAACCAAGACATGACAATACAATTTTCTAAGACATGACTCCACATCAGATCCTCTGTAGAGAGGATTGGTTCCTCCGCTTGGGTAACCCAGCGATCAGCGCATGTCGGTTGGACCATGACTCATCCTAATGCATTAAAAAAATTAAAATGTCATAGATTTTCATTATTAAAATGTCATAAATTTTTAATATTAATTTTTTTTTAAATGGAGGTAAAAATCGACAAAATACATATTCATACTCGTCTTAACATATTTTTTTATTCAAATCCTTTTTTCGATATATAACTACTTTTTCAGTATTTATTTTGACTCATTTGTCTGTTTTCATCAAAGATAAAATGCCTGTTATAAAGAGAGAAATACACTATCTACCAATAAGTATTTAGACACTTATGCAAATGACTACATCTGCTGTCCTGAGATACGTCACGCCCTCCACCGGTAAATATCGTGTAGGGAACAACATCAGCATTAGTCCCATGCAAGATGCACTATTTCGGATAACAATGTTCTTCCTGCGTTGTGGCAGTTTTACGGGGTGGAAACCTGTTACTTCCAGGACGACAATGCCAGCTGTCATGTTGCGAGGGTCGTCAAGGCTTGGTATGGTGCGAATGGGGTTAATTGAATGGACTGGCGTGCCCAGACCTGAACCCTATCGAAAACCTCTGGAAGAGTTGGATCGCCGAATTAAGGGGTGTACTACCCGTCAAAAATCGGTGAAGCAACTTACACGTCTTCTCCAAGCCGAGTGGAAGAAAATACCACAAGGACTTGTGAAAAATATGCCCCAGAGGGTTCAAGCTGTAATTGCCTCTCGTGGAGGCTCTACCAACTATTGATTATGAATAAAGTTTCTTTTTCTTTTCAATCACATGTGTCCAAATACTTATTGGTTGATAGTGAAGATTACAAATGATGGGCAATGATAATCGGCAGCTTTAAGAAACTCAGGTCTCATAGGTGTTGGTAAAAACAGCTGTTGGGAAAAGCATGTGTGCATTAAATATCGGTCCATGGCTTGCTAATTTGAACTCTGTTAATGCCCATCTTACAAGATCACCCTTTTCTGGGCATATACTTATCTATAAAGATTCGGCTATTAAAACGAGATTGTTTTCTTTGTTTCAATTTAAATTTTTTTAATTTAAGATTCATATAAAAGCTTATTCCATTTTTAAGTGCTTTTCTGGAAATAAATGAAAAATTTTCATTTTCAAAAATCCTAATTGATTATAATTACGAAATTACTGACGATTCTAAATTTTTGTGACATAAATAAATAAAAATATTTTGCGTATTTGTTTTTGGTGTAAGTAAGATTGGTGTTTATGGGCTTTGGTACATTTTGTTCCTCAAAAATTGGCTTCAATAAAAAAAATAGTGGACACGTGGTCCTGGAAAGTGTTGCCATATGTAGAGAGTCCTGCTCTGTGCCACCTGTTGCCCATTTTGATCTCAAATAGAGATTCTTTGAAAAAATATATGTTACACATTAGGGTCTCAAATTAATATTTAAGGGAGTAAGTCCAACTCATCTTTCTGTGAGGTTGATGGCATTTTTTACCCTTGGATTAAATATTAATATGCAAACCCTAATGTTTATAATTTTTTTTGACAAGGATTCTATAAATTTGCATGTTTGGTGATTTCAAAACTTTCAGTACAGTTTTTTTAATTGTATAAATTGGGTCGGGATAGCCTGGTTGGAAGGGCACTGGGCCCATGTCCAAGAGTTCGATCCCATGGCGGCCGAAGACTCCTCGTGAAGTAAATGGTGATTGATGCACGTTAAATCTGTCGAGTCGTAAAGTCCTTTATGTTCCCATAAAAAATCAATACCTCTGGGGGTACTGATCCAGGAGTTTCCTTGTCTTCTGGTTAGGTTCAAAATTACAAGGATACGGAGTTGAACATTAGTAGTAGTGAACCCAAAATTGGATCGGCTGTTCAACGACGGATATAAAAAATTAAAAAGTGTATAAATTATATACATTTGAAAATTTTCGATTTTGCGAGTGCATTTGGCAAAAGTGTTTAATGTGATTGTTTATTGTATTATTCCATTGCATAACTGGAAAGGAAATTTCACTTTTACCTTATAAGTGTTAGAACAAGAACCTTTGTTTCAATTCAACTTATTGTTAGAAATAAATGCAGTGTCTTTTCTTTTCAACAATTCGATTGCTTAGACTATCCAACTTTTAAAAATGTATGATGGAATGCCGAATTTAGTAATGAAGACAACCATAATCCAGCTCCTCAGAATAAAACGAATTTGAATTCTATAAGATGGTTTTGTGTTTTCACTTATAGCTTTGTAATCAATAACTCACTTTGAAAGGGTTTTCACTCAATTCATATTGATGAACATAAATTTAAATATTTAATTTAATTGAAAAATTAATAATAAAACATTAAGCATTGATTTTCTAATTTCAAAAGATTATCCAATGGTTTAGGTTTATGCTCCCAACAATTTCAAAGTATTATTCAATGAGAAAATTCATATTCAGATTTAGTACAGTATAACGTATAAATTATTTCTGTAGACTAATGTTTTTGCCGCTGCTCATTTGTCTACATATCTATTTTAAATTATTCAGAAAGAAAGTTTCAAAATTGTTAATTTGACAACGATTTCAAAAATGTGCAATTAATAAAAAGTTATGGTAACAGATTGTAAGATATGTCATATTAGAAAAATACTTTTAGCATAATTCATGCAGGAAATTTACGTTTCTCCTATATTCTAACGTTAAAAATCAGTATGCCGAAAGATACTCGATAAAGAAAAGAAGAAAAAAAAGAAGAAAAAAAAGAAGAAAAGAAAAAAATTAATAGAGAGAAGTCGGGAATAGTGTTAACTCAAGTTCTTCCCCTTTTATACGCTGTCATAAACGCTGTAACACAGCAAAATAGCAACTTAGAACGGAACGTTGTGATTTTGCCGTAATTAGCCTGCGTCAGCGTGATACCGTTTGGTAATCTCCCCAATCGGCTTCTAACTTCTACTGACTAATATTCCATTAAAGTATAGACCAATATTCCATCATACTAATATTTCATTTACATATAGAACAATATTCCATTAACTTATAGACCAATATTCCATTTATCTATATTAGATTAATACTACTAAGAATATTTTGAATGCGCTTTATATTTTTTGTAAGTCGAAACAAGCATTAATCTATTGACCAATATTCCATTAATTTATAGACCAATATTTCATTAATCTGTAGACCAATATTCCATTAATCTATAGACCGATATTCAATTAACTTATAGACTAATATTTCATTAACATATAGACCGGTATTCCATTAACCTATAATAGTCCCAATCAGCTTCTAACTTCCATTGACTAATATTCCATTTACATAAAGATCAATATTTCAATAACTTATAGACCGATATTCCATTTACCTATATTAGATTAATACTACTAAGAATATTTTGAATGCGCTTAATATTTTTTGAAAGTCGGAACAAGCTTTTTCTGTGTAATATAAGAGTGAAGCATTTTCTAGCTACATGAGTAAAAAATAAAAAAATTTCAGCAAGCACGTGTGCACATTTCGTGGTGTGATGCACTGTTCAGAGGCGTCACTGTCGTAACTAAAGGATTAACGTTCTTTATTTTGTGAACTCCAAATAAGCTAGGTTTGATAAATTTTTAATAAATAATGCCTACGAGTTCTAAACTTCGGCTCAGTCACCTTCGGTGGTGCTTTTTTTTCCTTTCTAAAGCATTAATATAGCTGATTTATCAAAATATAATTTTAAAAAATACAACAAACAGTAATAAATGAAATAGTTCACAACGGTAATGCGATAATCAATATTTTGAAATATTTATACATCAAAGAACAATTATTATTAAACCATAAATGTAATATCTCCATCTATATATTTAAAACTGTAATATGTTGGATTTCGGAACTTCCCAGGCAATGCATAAAAAAAAAAAAGGTTTATTCATGCTTTTTATTTTCTAGTGGTGAAATCGACTAATGGTGAATGTGCAGAGCTATGAAATTAAAGAGTCCGGTTGTATGTTATCGACCGAAGAAGAGAAGAGTTGTCGATGTCGGCTTTGATAACTAGAATTTAAGTCATCATTTGAAATGATAAAATGGTTATAGGTTTGTCATAGCTTCCTAATAAATTTTTTTTTTGTAAAATTAATTTTTCTTTATTTACTTACCTGAATCTTAAATCATTCACTTGGACCATCGTCCAAGGTTGGGAAATAAAATCACTCATTTAAAAGAAAGTCACAACAATTTTTTTAAATTTTGTTTTATTTAAAAATAATGTTTCTTTACCAAACAATGCATAACACTTGAATCATAAATACTGCAAAAAAACAAACAAAGAAGAAACCCCAAAAGGAAAACAGTGTATCTCCCCACATTGTTTGGCTATGGAAGCTATTTGAAATCGGATGAGTGGAATGCTAAAGTATAATATATGAGGCATTTTCAGACACTGGCAATCTCCTATAACCTTCTTTGGAATGATCCAAATTTCTTGCCAAAATAGACGAAAATGGCGTCATTTTTTAAATATGGCGTGATTTTGGGTATGTTCCTAAAGTCCTTTCAGGCCGTGAGAGGTATATACTCCTTGGTGTTTCCTATAGATCCGTTCATGTGTCGAACTCGGCTGTAAAGATAAAATATGGATGAGAGCATTTCCTTTTAAAGCAATTTAATATTTTGAAAGAAAGAAAATCTGTTCTAGAAAAAGGTACTATTTATGGATGGTGTTTTCGACACTAGGGAGCGCTGCAAGCTGTATGCCGCTTATACTTCCGGGTTACTGTTTCCGGTGTATTTTAAAGCCATCTCACAACGTGGTCATTGTGTTTTAAGATTCTTGCAAACGTGGTATTTGAATAGTTCTTATTACTAAACTTAATCTCGCTCCTCGAACAATATGCTAACACTAACGTAAGATGATGCTCAGCTTGCAACACGAACAATGGTAAAAAGCCAAATCAAAACTGCCAAAAAAGCGAGTTATTCAAAATCTAGCAACCATGTCACCTTTTTTAACAATATATCTCTAAATAACTAAAGCAAATTTTCACTTCAAACTCACCAGAATTACATAATAACATTAATATCTTACGAAATACGGCAGATTTGAGCTCAGAAATTATCTAATTTATTTCTTTTATTGAAAATCAAAATGATCCGTTTGAAAATATCGCTTCAATAACATGTAGTAAGCAGCTGCAAACTTTCTAACCGGAACTAGAGCAGTTATACAGCTCGAGATTGTTATTGTTTACATTTATACTGAAAACACCATCCAAGATAACTTTATTTTTGATCTACAAAATTTAGGAAAAGAATCATCGAAAGTAAATGCATTGTGTGAGAACTATATATTTTTTTCCCTTCCTCAGATCCTTTCTTTAATTCATATTGTAAGAAAGAAAATCGCAAACAACTTTTTTCTTTCTTCTTCCTATCTAGCCTCGTTTTTAGGATAGGGATGCTAAATTCTCATTTTTTCACCAGGTGGCACTGTAGAATACTTGATCAAATATAGTCACTTTATTGTAGGTATCTACTACCTCTTTTATAGCTATAGCTGTTAAGAGGTAACGGCATACTAAACTGAAGAGCCAAATAAACTGGTACAGGCATGAGTATGCAAATAAAGGGGTATGGAGCCAATCAAAGTACAGCGCTGTGATCGGCAACGCGTATATAAGACAACGAGTGTCTAGCACAGTTCTTAGATCGGTTACTGCTGCTACAATGCCAGGTAATACAGATTTAAGTGAGTTTGAACGTGGTGTTATAGTCGGCGCACGGGGCATCTCCGAGATAGCAATGAAATTTGGATTTTCACTTACGACTATTTCACGAGTATACCGCGAGTATCGGAAATCCACCATAATCCCCAGGCATGAACATTATTGAACATATTTGGGATGCCTTGCAACGTGATGTTCAGAAGATATCCCTACCCCCTCTTACTCCCACTGGTTTATGGACGGACCTGCAAGATTCATGGTGTCAATTATCTCCAGCACTACTTCACACATTGATCGAATCCATGCCACGTCGTGTTGCGACAAATAAATGATTTTAATAATGATTACAGACAAACAGGGGATTCAACGTTTTCAAGAGTAAATAAAAACGCTTACGTGATTTTTTTTTAGAAAGAAAATATTTCTTTCAAGGTTTAGGGATCATTTGCGGGTGATGACTTTATTACACAAGGGCTTCAGATATCTTTCCATGAAATTTTACCTCAGCTATCTTACAAGTAGTATACTGAAAATTATGTGTGATTCAGAAGTCATGATAAATATTATATCGTGGCTAGAGCAAGGGGTTTCCAACTTACATAAGACCGGGGGCCACAATAAAAAACACAAATCAAATGGCGGGCCGCAACTTTGCCAAAATTTTATGTAGGACTCCTTTATGTTTGAAGGAACATTAAATATTACTGTCAGATTTTTACCAAGCTGTACAAGACAAAAGTATTGAATTACAAATTAAAATAAGAAGTTGATTTTTAAAAATATTTAATTGTTATTAATAATATTTTAAAAATATTAAATAAGTAATAAAAATTCGGGCTACAATAACTTTAATGTGCACCTATGTATAGAACAATTTATGTGCAACAGATATCTAATTGTTAAGATATAAAACTTTAAAAAGGTTAGCATTAAAACTTACATAGTAGCACACAAAATGTTCAATGAGAAAATTGAGGTTTGTCTGCTGCAACCACCAGAGAATAGATATTTACATTTAAAATTTACAAATGTGTGTGTAAATATTTTCGTCCAAAATGAGTGGTTTCAAAAAGTTAAATCGGAGAATTTCTTCGAGAAAATTTCTGATACACATATGCTAAATTATATTCACAAAATACAAAAAAATGAAATAAAAAAAGAGCAACATACACAATTATTTTTGTATTTGAATAAATATTTTCTTGGATGCAAAACCTGAGAAATAAATTTCTTTTGCACCGTTGGTATGTTAAATATCACAGAAACGAAGAAATTAGGTTTTTATTAACGAGAAAAGTATTTTAAACCCATATAGATTTTTTAACGAAAATTGTCCGCAAAAAATGACAGCTAATATATTTTAGTTCGCGGGCCACAAAAAAAGGCTCCGCGGGCCGGATGCGGTCCCCGGGCCGCCAGTTGGAAACCCCTGGGCTAGAGAGACATCGTATTTTGCTTAATTGTAAGAAAACATGAGAAAATGGGAAGAAAAAGAGAATATTTATTAAAATTGGTTATATTTACTTGGACGAAGTTAGATTCACCCTTTTTTCAGTTATTGGATCAGAACTATCTTTTAGGCAATCACGACATGATTGTAACTTGGACTCCAAAACCTGAGGGATTAAAAAGAAAGATTTTTAATAGTTGATATCAACAACTTTATAATAACTTTTTGAACAAAAAGATATCACAACTACAGTAATGACGTATATAACTTTACATTTACTGCATTTTATAATAAATGGATAAATAGTCATTATTTTAATTAAAAAAATGAGAAATGAAAAATGCAGAAAAAAAAGCACCAATTAAAGCTTTCAAATAAATTAGAATTTAAAAAAAATAAATGAGTTAAATTCATAAATAAAAATGGCCGATTTAGAGCGTCGAATTTTAAGTTCGTTGTAGCATTTTTACATTTATAAGAGAGATCAGCATATACATATTTTTTACCACAATTTTAATAGTTCAAACTTATTAAAACAATTTAAATTTGTTTCTATTACTTTTTCATTCTCTTGCACTCTTTTGAATATTTTCCTTTTTTTAACTATCGAATACATTCTTTTCTAACTATCGAATGTTAAATTTTTTTTCCTTTATACTCCCAGTACATTTTTCTACAGATCTGTTTAGTTTAAAGTTTCTAAGTGTCACAGATTTTGCATAGCAAACAAAATGCTAAGTTCAACATCCGAGAGTGCAGTGTGAGATATAATATTAAATGTTGTGTAAAACTTAAAATCTAGTAAAACCCTAACTCGAAAGATTTTATTTCAATTTTGTTTTTGAAAAAGATTAAAAATTATCAAAATTTATAAAAGTAATGCAGAAATGATAAATAAAATTATCAAAATTTATAAGTATACATAATTCTGGGCTAAAAAGTATTCTAACCATTGAAGGGATTTTGTACTTTGGTCAATGTAGGGATAAGCCACATTAGTTTCAAAGGTGATATTTTGACACCGAGCTGTTCCTTATTATTGTTTCCAGATAAGTATTCTACTAGTTTTTAGATTTTTAATCAGATGACTTCTACTTCCAAAATCTCAAGATTTAGAATTGTAGTGAACTTCAAGGTTAATCTATATATATATATATTTCTCTTACACGGCGACAAAAAGAAACCTCATTACAACTCCCCGAATGGCAACGCTAGAAAATCGATCAATGATTGCAGCTAAAAATGTCACATGCCAAATCTAGATGAGGTGGCTCAACATATAGCGCTTTTAAAAACGGAAACGGAAATAACCAGAGAGAGCATTCTCACCAAATGTGATCTCTTCCGAAATTCTATCAGCTGCGGCAATCTGATACTATTAAGAACACAAAAGTGAGGAATTTTTCACGAATTTATATATTACGAATTTATTTGACGATTTTTGATTTAAATCACGAATTTATTTGTTTTATTGTTATTAGTTTTTCATTGAAAAATCAGTCTCAGTCGTGCTGTTACGTTTTAAGATTTTATACTATAGCACATTTCTAAAAGATTTAACGAATTACAGGTCATTTATTTGAATTCAAATTTATTTTAATGACTTAGTATTTACTAAAAAGATGGATTTTTTTTTCTTTAAAAAGTTGTTATATGGATTTGAATGATTGTTTTGAATTCTTAGAATTTGGTGCATTTGCAATGTACCTAAGTTAGTAGCGAGCGAAGCGAGCTTGGTTTGCGAAGCAAACCATATAAGATTGCGTAGCAATTTTCAGGGGTTGGCGAGCGTTAGCGATCAGGGGGCGCAGCCCACTAGTATTTATTATTGTATCTAAAGATAACTTCATACAAATTCATGATATCACGGTAATTTTGAATTACAGCCACTTCACCATATAGAAACGATGATCAAATCTAGGTGATTTACCGTTTTTGTGCAAGTAGTAGCTCTTGACACATAAAATAAATAAATTTGAAGAAAAGAAAAAGTCGAAAACCGACTTTATCTGAACTGAATTACGCTGCTGAACTCTTCTTCCCAAATCTTTGTGATGTGACCTGACCTTTCTAGAAATTTCTACCATTATAACGCACAAGGGTCATTCTGAAAAATATTGTTACAATTTTAACTTCTAACCGGTATAAAAAGAATGTTTTTTTAGAGCTTTTAATAAATATTGACTGCTAGAAAACTATTTTGTTTCATTCATTAAAATGGAAGCACTCTAGGTTTGAAAAATATACTGAGATTTATTACTTTTCAAATGATAGAAAATCTTCATTCTATAATAGAATATACAAATTAAAAAAAAAAAGAGAGAGAAAAGGTGAAGCTGATATAAAAATGTAACAAATATTTAAAAAATCCAGTTTTTTTGCAAATGTCTGCATTTTGCAGTGTATCAGGTCAATTGAAAAAAGCCTAAAATTTTCTAAACGGATTAATACTTTTAAATCTCATTACAATTAGTTTTACGACTAGAGACTAATAAGCTAATAAGGCAATGTGTCAATACTCAATCGAACGGAATTTGCTTAGGCTTATTGCCATAAACCATAAATATGGTTATTTGTAATAAGTCTTCACTACTCTGGACTTAATGAAAACTGCACGAAATAAATCAGGCTCATTGAGAAAGGAATGTTATAGTTTTTTACAAGCCAAAAATTCATCCTAAACATTTTATTACATTTACATTTCTTGTAAGCCACCTACAATTGGCCTTGAAGGTGTCAGGCTGATTAGAAAATATTGGAGACTTTTTCAGGTGTCAGGCTGATTAGAAAATATTGGAGACTTTTTCAGGTGTCAGGCTGATTACAAAATATTGGAGACTTTTTCAAAGACCCTAAATAAGTCTGGCGTAGTGCAAAATGATAGAGCGTGATTGTAAAAGTATATTCTGGTACGCCAAACGGTTAATTTGCTACCTGCATTGAGCCTAAAAAGTGATAGGCTGATTACAAAATGCTGGTGACTTTTATAATCTGCCCGAATCAGTCAAGTGCATTGCGAAATAACGAATCTTTGCAAAATAGCCTACAACATATACACATTATTTAGCTGACAAGTACAATAAATGTCTAACAATCTTAAAGGTATCAATCACATCGGATGAAAATCGGCAATTTCGAAGAAAATTTCGAATTTTATATTTATTTGAATATTATTATTGAATATTATACACTCCTCAAAAGTGAAATTGCAACACCAAGAAATAATGCACGTAGCGTCATGCAAATTTTAGGAGTGATAGTAGTGAGATGGATATGCAAATGATTAAATTTGCGCACGCATCTGATCACGTGGTACGCATATTCGGGCTATAAAGGCCAGCAACTTTCTCTTCTCATAAACGGCATCTGAGGCTTTGCGTAGCATTTGCGACTTTCGAAAAAGCGCAGAAAATGCCTCTGAGACGTCGGCGAGCTCAATACCATCAGTTAACGACCGGGGAACGTGACCGTATTATCGAACTCCATGAACTTGGTTTGTCGCTGCGCGCAATAGCAACTCGTGTTGGGCACAACGTGAGTACCATCCAACGTTGTGTCACACGATGGATTCAGGAAGGTCTACGTGCACGCCGAAGANCAAGAGTTATGTATTTATACTAGTCATTATGAATAAGAGATATCAATTTGACCATATATTCATGCCCAGACAATGTCAGCAATCAATTTAAACATATATTCAAGTGTGAATGTTCACTTATGAAAAACATTGAAGTTATTTCAAAGGAAAGAAACATATTTCCGATGTATTTAATTTCTTAAGCACATAAAATTGCAAATATTAGATAACTTCCTCGCATTTTTCAAACTGAATATTTGTTGTCGAATAAAGCATAAAAAATTGTTGTTTTAGGATAATGTTTTAGAATAACAAACTGGTTCATGCAAACATGAATAAATAATTACTATTAATTTATGGTGTTTCAGGTCATATTTTATTAAAAATCATTTTAAACTTAAGTGTAAATTAAATTCTCCAGTTAAATTCATTTAATTTATTAATCTAAGATTATTTGTTTTACGATACTAGAAGTCGTTCTTTACATATTTACATCAATATACATCATTGCGATACATTGATTTATTTACATCTAGAAACTGTTAAAAGGTAGAATAGCTCTTTTTGAGGTAGCCAATCAACTATGAGTTAGAATCTTTTTGGGAAAGGCTAAACTAGATCTTAGCCTGAGGCGGGGTGTGATTTTCAGCGCCATCTAGTTTTCAAGTTTGAGGCTAGAATCCACTTTAGGACCGCCTTAACCTAAGTCACGGAGGAGAGCAACATTACCCACGCCACACAATAGAGAACACGCAGAGAGAAACATCCATACCTTGAGTGGGATTCGAACTCACAGCCATTGAAAAAATCATTATTTAAAACTTTCAAATAAATTAGGTAAAAAAAAAAAGCTTTAAGTTAAAGTCATAAAAAAATGGCCGATTTAAAACGTCGAATTTTAAATTCTTTGTAGCATTTTTATATTCATAAGAACGGTCAGCATATACATATTTTTTATTACAAATTTAATAGTACAAAATAATAAATTTTATTTAATTTGTTTCGATTTCCTTTCCCTTTTCTTGCATTCTTCTGAATATTTTATTCGAACATTTAAATATTCTTTTCTAACCATCGAATGTTAAATTTCTTTTCATCGTTCTCCCTGTACATTTTTTAACAGATCAGTTAAGTTTCAAGATTCACAGATATGGCATAGCGAAATAAATTCAGAGTTGAACATCCAAAAGTAAGGTGATTTTTTAAATATGGAGAGATAATATTGAACGTTGTGTTCAAAACTTAAAATCTAGTAAAATCCTAACTCGAAAGATTTTATTTAAATTTTGTGTTCGAAAAAGTTTAAAAATTAGTAAAACTTATGGACGTAATGCAGAATGCTAAAAAATATATTTAAAAATTTATAAGTATACTTAATTTTAGGCTAAAAAGTATTCTAAATATTGAATGGATTGTGTACTTTGGTCAATCTAGTGATAAATCACATTAAAAGATGATATTTTAACACCGAGTTCTTCCTTATTACTGTTTTCAGATAGATATTTTACTAGTTTTCAGATTTTTCATTAGATGACCTCTACTTCCAAAATCTTATAATTTAGAATTGTAGTGACCTCCAAGGTTAATATTTATTATTGTATTTAAAGATAATTTCATACCAATTCATGATATCGCGGCAATTTAGAATTACAGCTCTAAGCCATTTCACCATATAGAAACGATGATCAAATCAAATCACTAGGTGATTTACCGTTTTTGTGCAAGTAGTAGCTCTTGACAGATAAAAAAATAAAAAAAAACTTTAACTGAACTGAATAACGCTGCTGAACTCATCTTCCCAAATCTCATTGGGATGTGACCTGACCTTGATTAGAAATTTCCACTATTATAAAGCATGAGGGTCATTCTGAAAAAAATTGTTACATTCTTAACTTCCAACCGGTATAAAAAATAATGTTTTTTTAGAACTTTTGATAAATATTGACTGCTAAAAAACTATTTTGTTTCATCCAATTCATTAAAACGAAAGCACTCTTTGTTTGAAAAATAAACTGAGATTTATTACTTTTCAAATGATAGAAAATCTTCATTCTCTAATAGAATATACAAATTAAAAAAAAGAGAGAGAGAAAAGATGAAGCTGACATAAAAATGTAACAAACATTTAAAAAATCCGGTTCTTTTGCAACTGTCTGCATTTTGCAGTGTATCAGGTTAATTGAAAAAGCCTAAAATTTTCTAACCGGATTAATACTTTTAAATCTCATTACAATTAGTTTTACGACTAGAGACTAGTAAGGCAATGTGCCAATACTCAATTGAACGGAATTTGCTTAGGCTTATTGCCATAAACCATAAATATGGTTATTTATAATACTCTGGACTTAATGAAAACATTTACATTATTACATTTACATTTCTTGTAAGCCACCTACAATTGGCCTTGAAGGTGTCAGGCTGATTAGAAAATATTGGAGACTTTTTCAGGTGTCAGGCTGATTACAAAATATTGGAGACTTTTTCAAAGACCTGGCGTAGTGCAAAATGATAGAGCGTGATTGTAAAAGTATATATGGTACGCCAAACAGTTAATTTGCTACCTGCATTGGGCCTAAAAAGTGATAGGCTGATTACAAAATGCTGGTGACTTTTACAATCAGCCCGAATCAGCCAAATACATTGCAAAATAATGAATCTTTGCAAAATAGCCCACAAGATGTACATAATATTTAGCAGCTGACAAGTACAATAAATGTCTAACAATCTAAATGTGTCTCAATCAGATCGGGTGAAAATCGGCAATTTCGAAGAAAATTTCGAATTTTATATTTATTTGAAACTATTATTAAATATTATATATATTATAAACTATTATTGAATTTACACTTATTTGAAACCATATTTTAACTTTAGTTCATTATCTTTCGAAATTTTTCTTTTCTAATCTTTACAAATGATGCAATAGTTGTTTTTTTCCATCCTGAAAAGCGTTTTTTTTCCTTCTTTTTTTAGCAATTAAATAACTTAAATGTCTTTACAGAAAAACGTTGATTTTGAAAAAATCTTATTACACTAACACACATTACAACAAAATTTAGCAAGAAATTCTACAAATATTTGCATGTAGACTTTGTTTAATGTTACCTATACTTAAGTGTGAATTTATTATTTTTATCATACTAAGTAAGAATGCTTCGAATTTTTCTTTAAAAAAATCAATATTGAACAATATATTATTTAGTTTCACTTCATCACGGAATTTTTTAAAGATTTTAGTTCAAAACACAGGTAACCATATTATTGATCTAAAATTTTTTTTCGCATTTATTAGTTACTATTTTTTGTAGAGCTGTAAGCGTGACACCAAAAATTTTTAATGTTTTATGTTCAAACTTGTCCAAATTAAAAAAAAAAATTGCAAATTTTAAAAGTTTATTTTAGATTTATAATTTCAGCACCCATGCTAACCAAAAATAAAAAATTAAAATTTTAAATAAGGCTATTTTTAAATAAAATTTAGTCGAAATCAGTCAGATACCTTGAGTAAATATAATTTACCAAATTATTGAATAATGCATGCCTACTCTGTTATACTATTTTTAACCCAAACTGCAAATGCAAACTAAAATTAAGGCACTTTCAGGAATAAGAATAAACAAGAATAAGAAATTAAGGAATAAGAATAAATAAGAATAAGAAATTAAAAAGAATTGAATGCTGTGGAATTTAAACGACATCATTTGTAACATTTCTCGAGAATGACCTATAAAAAGATCTTCATATTTCCAGTTAATAATAAAGAAAAAAATAGAATGAATATAAATTTTTACATATGCAATTGTTATTTATAATCAATCAAAATTTACACTTCAACAGAAAAAAAAAGAAATAACAAAATTAACGAAATAAAAAGAAAACCAGTTTCGTTGGTTAACATCGTTTTCTGTTCGTTTAGTAATGAAGTGAGATGACAGAAAAATGAATATATATTTTTGGAGTGGATATCAACTAATGAATATTTGGAACTTATTTTTAACCTTTAATTAAAGAAAAAGCTAGCTAAATATGGAATTGGGCTGAAATAAACAGTTCTCATTCTGAAGAATAGAAAATGGAATTTCAAATAAAGTAATAAGAAAAATATGTAGATCGATGTAATTTAAAATAAAAAGAAAACAGTTAGATACTTACTCCAACTTTTTTAAGGAGATCTCCTAGAATGTTCATGGCAGAATGTGGCACAATGGAACCAGTGGTGGACATAAAATGTGCGCTGTTTCCTGTTTAACAAGATAATATTTTATTTTGTGTTCGAAAACAACAATTATACATTCAGATATTATAAGATAATCAGAAATGAATAACTTTATTTTAAATATTTACATTTTCAAAAGTGTTGTGCAGTGAGCAAAAAAGTGAGAATTTTGAATAACATTTGCTAATTAATTCGTGCAGACGATATTCTATAAGTTACAAAATCAGACACAAAAACATAACTTCTTTGTATACCCATTTTCTGTCGGACTTAGATTTCTGACCCTCAAAATATGAAGGGTCGCCGCACTATGGAAAATATGGTTGCAATCAGGAGAAAGGTCGGAAAGTTTAGATCCCTTAATGTAAATTTTATCTTCCAGGTATAAAGTAAAATATTATAAAATTAATATTAAATATATTATGAAATTCTTTATCCAAAAGCAGTTCAAAAAAATAATTTTTAATAAAAAATAACAATGGAAAAAATTTTAAATTTTTAGCTATTGCGACATGCGAAAAAAGAAAAATTAACTTTAAGCAGTCCAAATTTTCGACCGTTCTTTTGAGTAAACTATTGGGATCATGTTTTTCTGATTGTACCTCCCCATACTTTAAGAGTAAAAAATGCAAATGCACCAAAAAATAAATGTCTTTGTTTAGAGAAATTACGATTTTTGTATACGATTTTTTAACTTAAAATATTGTCTGCACTACTAAAATAACATATTAAAAATTAAGCCTTCGAACTATTAAGGAGTCCTAGATCGTGAAAATTCAATCATTAGACTAAAAGTAATTTAGCACGTTCACTTTTTTATTTTGCGAACTGTGCATATTACTATAGGCATATGAAATTAACGAAAAATATGGAAAACATTTATTTATTTATTTTTCGGTTATAAACAATCAGAGAGGTCTTTTTGTAACATGAGAGAAATCAAGTTTGTTGCATACATTTTGTAGTATCACATTGATAATAAATTCTAATGCAGCGCAAATGCGTTTTTTATGTTCTTGTAATGTTTCAGATTCGAAGGTTCATAAAAATTGTCTAGGGCGTTCTATTCCAAGTGGCCAATTGATTAATTTCTATTAATCAATTGACCACTGAGACCCTTATACTTTGAGTCATGTGATTTCTTTTTATGAGACACTACTGACACCAAGACACTACTTGAGCTGAGGTGACTCAGGGCGTAGAGCGCTCGTTTTTCCAGGAGATGACTCAGGTTCGAATCCTAGCATAGGCTTTCCGATATATATTCTCAGTATAAGACGAATCATGAGTTAGATTCTCCTTGCTTTCGGGCTAACAGTGTGAGGTTTTCGTGGTTTTACTCTTCATGCTAACAAAAATACGGTTAGTTTCATCAAAAAAGTTCTAAACGAAGGCTAATTTGTCCCAATACTTGATCCAGGAATTCGCTGGTGTTCTAAATTGGGTTAAAAATTACAAGACTGCGGAATTGAACACTGAGAGTGGTATACTAAAAAATAAGTCGATTGTGTAACGCCGGTAATAAAAAATAACAAAACGCTACCTATAAACAACCAATCCCGCAAACACCAAAAGAACGATTCTGTGCTGCACTAAAAGCCATTAATATTGTAAAACTACAAAATGTCTGGAACGAATTTGATTACAGATTAGATATTTGCCTACTTAGCCTTGATTGTGAAGACATCAAAGTTTTTGTACTCGAAATGTTTCCGACCATATAAAAGCATCTTTCTTTGCTTCAAATTTATTTGATTACTGAAAACTATTTTCGTGGCATTGTATATTCACGAAAAAAAAATGACTAAATTCAAAATAGTTTATTGATAAACTAGTGAGAAATAAGTAATATACTAACACTCTAAACTAAAGTATTTCGATACAAAAATTGTAAGTTCATTTTCCATTGCTTGGCGAGTAATACACGGGAAATCTTTCTTGGCTATATTACCTTCTGAGACTATATAACTGATACATTGTATTACCTTCGTATATTATACAAATGATACTTTATTACCTTCCTTGACTAAATTACTTTCCTCAACAATATTATCTATCTTGACTGTATATTACCGATAGGTAATTTTTTTTTTATTGTATTACTGAGACTATACTACCTTAATTGACTTTATTGCTGATACCTAATTACCTTTCCTGACTATATAGCCTATATTATGTTACTATAAATAAATACCATAAACCGAAGCATAAAGATATTACCTAATTAAAAACTTCATTACAAAAATATATAAAAAAATATATAAAAAAGAAATAACATTCGACATGTTTCAAGCGTTAAAAAACAGGCGCCCATTTCCCCAGGCCAGACGTGAATGTGAAGGAAAAAAAGTGATTTGAAATATAAAACGAAATGTTGCCATGGAAAAGTAGAAAAATAACGGTGAAAAAAAAGCTAGAAAAACCATAGTAGCTGAGAGAAAAAAAAGATGAAAAATAGAATAAGGAAAAACACAGCAGCCGAGAGGAGCAACTCAGGGCAAAATACATTTCCACACGCTATGGAAAGGTGGCGAGGAACAAATGTAGTTAACAAGAGAATCAACATTCATATGAATGAAACAAGATTCCAGGGCTTCAAGATGAGCTGATGTGACTGAGATGGAAACAATTTTGGCATTATGCCCAAGATCCCAACAATGTGCAGCAATTGATGATTTCTCGTATTCTTGATAACGGACGTATACTATGTTACGATCTCTGAATACATTATAATTAAAAAAAAATTTCACGAAATATCTACTCACTTCTAAGGCGAGATCGGTTTTCAGCTTCACTGATGAGTTTATTTGATTCGATGATGGATTCGAGCGTCTTTTTCGGCAGTGGAGGCGCTTCGGTTTTTATAGTCTCGCTCACTGTAAGCTCGTGTTTTAAATCTGTGGAAAAATGTTGATTATTGAAATTATGAAATGAAAAGTATTCGTATAGAAAATAGATTTAATGAAAAAGAGTAAAACTTATAAACGTAAAAGTGAAGAGGAAACAAAGAATAATTTTTTATAAAATACAGTGCACTAAAAAAACGGACTACTATGAATAACTTTTAATCTAATGATCGGATCTTCACGTTCTAGGACTCAATCTTAATGGCTCAAGGATGTGGCCTCAAATAAGTTAATTAATTAGTGCAGATGATATTTGAAGTTACGAAATCGGACAAAATTTTTCACACATCTCTTTTTCTTCAATGGATTCGGCTTTCTGACCCCCAAATTATAAGGGGTAGCCGCAACCTAAAAAACGTGGTTTCAACAGTTTGGTCAGGTGAGCGGTCTAAAATTTAGGCCTCTTAATGTTAATTTTACTTTTTCATATTTTGCAATATCTCAAGAACTTTTTAAACGAATTTTAAAATTTTTGCACACAATTATAAAATTCATTTATCCAAAGTTAATTCTATACAAAAAATAACTTTTAGTAAATATTTTTTTAAAATTATTTTATTTAATAAAGTCAAAAAAACTTTGAATTGTGAAGTAGGAAATTTTTTTACATAATTTTAAAGAATGTAAATTTACATGGCCATATACACAGTTTGAACAAAATCGGTCGAATAGTTTCTAAAAAATAGAATTTTAAATTTACGACTTCTTTAAAATTTGATATCGATAATCTGATATTGTCAGCACTGATTAAGTAGCATATTTGAGGCCAACTCCTAGAACCATTAAGATTGAGTGCTAGAACGTGAAGATCTTACAATTAGATCAAAAGTTATTCAAAGTGGTCCGTTTTCTCTTTTGCGCACCGTACAAAAATATTTACCACAGTATATAATACTTTTATCGTTAGTATTAATTTGGTTCTCGGAAATATTTTGTCAAGTGGAAGATTTGTTTCATCTACAATTCTTAAAAAAGTATGCATTTAGTTTTGAACTTTTCTAAACGTTTACCTATGATTATAAATGTAGTGCCCATGAACATCATACTAGTACCAAATGTTTACGTCACGGAACTGATATTACCTTGATATGTACTTTCTTCGAACTATGAGACTGGATTCTATAACATTTTGGTGATATTTGTTCAATGTTTGACGAAAATTAACGCAAAATAATTTAGGCTAGCCAATAATAAATGTAAATTTTTTGAAATTAGGCATTTGAAATTAGGTTACTTTCCAAAAAATTCATTCGTCAGTTTTTTTGGGAAAAAAACAAAGAATATTTTTTTTTTTTTTTTTTTTTTATAAAAAAAAGCAAAACTTAAGCAGAAAGTTGGAAAATTCTGACTTTCAACTATATACCTATTTTTGTGAGTATCTGTGAAATATTTTTGCAGCTTATAGATATTAAATATTTAGCTTCAAACAAATCCGATCGAGTAATTAATTTATATCGAATAATTAATTATAACAAAATAATTTATATTCAAATGGGAATTTGCAACTCGAAAAAAAAAATAAAATAATATTAGGCCTAACCATGTGATTTAAATCAGATTTAATTGGCTACCTGTAAGAGACGTCACAAGAGTGTGTCGAGCCTGATTGGTTTCTTCTGAATCGACAAATGCCACGATTTAATTTAACTACGTCATGACGAATGACGTCACTTGCAGATATCCAATTACAAGCCATTTCACGGCAGTATAAAAAAATGAATACAAATAATTTTAGATGTTTTAGATTTGTACCTATAATGATTATAAATCAAAGATGAATATGAAAGAGAAAGAAAATAAATTTAAATTTGTTATAAATAGATTACCACTAAATCATATAAACTTTACCTCTAGCTTCATCTTTTAATCTTTGAATCAGAACAGCCATATTCTCCTTTTCATCTAATTCATTTTCTAGGAAAGCATTTCTTTCTATAGCCTGTAAATAACAATAAAAAAACATACGTTACTAATCCATTGTATACAGTGGATATCGCCCATTAGGACGAAATCCACTCTAGTGCCCATTGTTCCATACGTTACAAAAATTTTAAATTTCCATTGTAACAAAAACTTTTTATATGATTGTATTCTTCGTTTAGTTAGCAACAATATTGGAGCCCCCATCAGCTTAAATGATTTAAAGCCGGGAAAAGGAGTTATAAACCTAAATATATGTTGTTTTGTTAATTACGAGAAAGTGAGAAATCAGAATGCTGAGAAGCTGTAGAAAATAAAATAAATAAAATACTATTTATTAGTTTAGAAATCATTAACCCCTTCCTTCTCGCTCCCGTGACTGGAGTGTTCAGTAGTAACGCGCCAATAAGAATAAAACTAATTCATTTCTTTTGCCCGGAAAACATTTTATTTCTAATTTTACACACCAGATGGCATTATCAAGATATTTTTAAGGTAATTGTTGATAGTTAGTTTATTTTAAACTAGATGTCAGCACTAATCAAATACGTGTATTTGACGAAATAAGCACTTTGACCGTTATGACCGTTTTCTTGAAAATTAACCGATCGTTAAGGGGGTAAACAAGTTTTTCTAAAAAATTATTCGTCTTCTTCCTTTTAATGGTTTCTGAGCGCGAAAAATTGTTAATCTAAAGGAAACAGTAGAGCTGCAATGGCACAGGGGAAGTTGAAGTCTTTTTTTTTTTTTTTTTTTTTTTTTTTTTTTTTTTTTTTTTTTTTTTTTTTTTNTTTTTTTTTTTTTTCTAAACCGGCGTTGAATAGCCGGCATCGTTTTGAGTTACTATCAATGTTTAACTCTGTAGTCCTGTAGTTTTGATCCCATCTTAGAACACGAATAAATTCTTGAATCAAGTGTTGGGTCAAATTAGGCTTCGCTGAGGATTTTTTTGATGAAACTAACAGTATTTGCGTTACAGGGAAAGGAAAACCTCGAAAATCACCCAATGTTAGCCCGAAAGCAAGCGAATTCTAATTCATGATTCGTCTATTACTGAGGATATGTATCGGAAAGCCAATGCTGGATTTCGAACCTGAGTAATTTCCTTGCAAAACGAGTGCTCTATGCACTGAGTCACTTCAGTTCAAGTAGTGCATTTGTGTTAGTAGTGTCTCATAAAAAGAAATTTTTAATTTATTATTTTGTTTAATTCTAAAAGAAGTTAAACTGAGACATACAAGTTTTTACATTTTAAAAGAATTTAATTTTGAAAATACATTTTTTGAAATATATTTTATAACCGTCGTTTAACAGCCAACCCAATTTTTAGAGTTTACGGCTATAAATGTTCAACTCCGTAGCCTTGTAGTTTTGAACCCCACCCAAAAGACGAGGGATCTCCTGGATCAAGCATGGGAACTAACTAGCCTTCGGGGAGGACTTATGATGGAACTAATCCGCATTTGCGCTACACAGAGAGGAAAACCACGTAAACCTCCCATGGTTAAACTCGACGACAAAAGGATTCTAACCAATGATCCAAGAACTACTGAGGCTATTTCACGTTAGCACTGTTGACGGGGCGAGCCGGGAGCAGAATTGACATCAACCAGCCATACCTGGGATTCAAACTTGGGAAATCTCACTGGGAGGCGTACACTTTATTTTCTGAGCCTCCACGACTTAAGCTGATGTCTCTGTGAAAGATTGGGAGTCGAACCCCCGGCGGTGCCCCTCAACTTCAAATGGATGGATTTTCTTCATGATTTCATTCATACATCTATTCGTTTCATTCATCTTAGAAGTCCCACCCACCAGCAACTGCATTCTTCTTGCTTTTATAGATCACAAAATATCTTATTTCATGATTAAATCTTTCACTCCACATTATTTACTAAAGGTACATAGATGTTTTTTATAATTCTGAGTTCAACATTTTATAGCTCAAGAATATTTCTTGCTCAAGTATTATAACTTTCCGCATTATTTACATTTAAACTAATTTTATTTATACTGTATGAAAACGGTATTATTTATACAATAAAATACAAGATAATAAATACGAAAGGCTTGAGATAGAATAGTGATAATCTAAAATTGCCGAAACGCCAAGATTTTACATTAACTTGTTCTTTAATATTGTTTCCAGATAGGTGCTTTACAAGTTTCTGGAATTTTCACATGGTAAAAGCATACTACACTGAAACATTTTGCTGCCTACATGAAAATAGAGGTTTTTTTTTCTTCACGAAATACTCTCTTAAATCATATCTCAGCGTAAATAGTTGAAAATGTGGCTTATCATTATATTGTACGAAACCCATCATATATTTCAAGACCCTGATATGATTCATACATTAAATCCTGAGTGCAATAATATATGCAATAATACTTACTTGATTCAATCTTGTTTCAAAATCTTCTAAGGACATTAGAGACGCTCTGTTAGAAAAAAAAAGAAATAAATATGTAGTCATTTTACGAAGAAAAAAAATAGTTTAAGTAATTGATCATGCAAATCTTCCTAGAAAAAAATTGGGGACTTATTTTGTATCGAACACAGAAAGAGAGAAAGAAATATCTTATTTCTTACAAGCTGTATCGTAAATTTAGAACGTAAATCAAATTTTCGCTAAATACTTGTTATCTGAAATCAAATATTATAATAAATATTTGTTTCAAAACAAAAATAAAATGAAAAGGTTTGCTAAACAGTGAACATATGAAATAAAATTTGGGTTATTCCGAAAGTAAGTTCGTATTTTCTCACCAGGGGGATTTAATTGAATTTTTTTCATAGACAACTTCACACTTAAGTTGTAAAATTATTATAAATTTTAAAAGCTGATATAGAAAGTCTCATTAATGAAAAAGTTCGATAGACACTATGCAGCAGTGAAAGCGACACCATTTTCGACATATTTTACTTTCGAAAAGGTAAAAATGCTGTTCAAGCAAGAAAAAAATTATCTGATGAGTATAATGGAGAAGATGTATTGACAGTATGCCAGTGCCAAAACTGTTTTGCGAAATTACGATTAAGATGCACTATGACAGTTAAGGTCGACCGTTGTGAGCCTTGATTAGATATTGAATCAAAAGCGCCATTTAGCAGATATGGAGGTGGCTGGAATGGAATTATTTAAAGAGGTATGGTGGAAGTTAAAAATAACATAAAAAAATAAACTGGCTTTAAACTTACAACCGGTCTTCTTTTTAGATTGCAGCATTCAGATTATGATAATTATTAGTAGTTATTTAAGCTCGTTATGTATAGGGGCGTTATATGCAAGAGTAAAAAGGGTGATTTATATGCGAATGAGGATAGATAATAAATATGCATTATAGATAATAATATTAATAAAAGCACAAGAGTTTTTCTTATTGAATTTTTTTTTAAAAAGTGGAAGTATTAACCTGGTGGCTCTTTCGAAGTCGTCATTTTTTTGTTCCAATTTTCTCACGTATACTTGCATCTCTTCTCTGGCCATTTGCATCTTTTGAAGCTCATCCCTCATGTTACTGCATTCTGTTTGGCACTGATTCAGCTTGGTCTGTAAAGGAAGATTGTAGAAATTCAGAAGAAAATACAAATACAGTGAGTCACCTCTAACTCATGTACCGCCTCTTTTATCACGGGTCTGTCCAGACATTTTGTGAAAGGTCCTGTTTTTGTTTAATTACGAAAAAACTATTCATAATTTGTAAATATAAAATAAGCGTTAAGTCACATTTTTTCAACCAGGGTCCTGCTTTTGTGAATTTGTGCAAATAGTGTCCTGTTATAGCAAAAATTGCTGAAAACCTTTTCGAGAAGAATTGTAAATAGATTTTTAAATTGTAAATAGATACAAGATTCTGCTCAACAATTGCTGCTACTAAATTAGAGATGCAACATACAAATATTTGGTATTTAGTCTATACTGCTCAACACAGAATATTCATTTCGGACGAATAATGGAAACAAAATCACTCACGTTTTTAATAATTTCAATTGACATATTTTAAATAACACAACTTAGTAATGTATCACTTTTAATGTGTTATGCATTAAGTAAACTTAAACTAAACAAATCTTAAATTTATAATATTTTATATAAAAAATTGCCAGAAATTAATCTTTATTTACATAATATTCTTTTAATTAATTTAATGAATAAATAAAAATTGATCAATTATTTATTTACAAAAAAAAAAATGATTTAATATTAATAAGAATGCGCACGCGATGTTTGTAAAAGCAGAAATATTTTCTTAGAATACTCCATTTGGAATTTAAACTTAGGGAAACTTAGTTTGTCTCTAACCGTCTTCCCCCCCTCCCCCCCCGGGAAGGGTTTATTTGATTAACAAAACGATAATGAAGATAAACAAATTCGCGAAGAGTCCGATTAAGAGATAAATTATTTTGTGAAGGGTCCGTTAGCGGACCCAAATTTCTTCTTAGCCGACCCCTGTTTATGCTCTTTTTCATTTATACGACGGTTTTCAAAGGTTCATGATCATTATATAGGAAAATAATGATAATTATCATTCGTTTATGCGTGGTTCTGAAAATAAATATTTCAATTATACGCCGAAATGCTTCTTAGAATAGCTAAAAAATTTCTAGAATAGAAAGAAAAAAGAATCAATTTTTTTTAGAAAAAGTTCTTAGATTGAAAATTGAAGGAAATAAACAATCTTAGTTAAATATGCAGCTGGATCCAGTGAAATAGTTAATTTTCCTCCCCCATACTACAGTGCTGTATCGCACATAGAATTTGTTGAAATATAATTATTTCTCGTCTACATCTTTTACTTAACTTAGATGTATTATTTGTTAGTGTATTTTATTATAACCATCATATATTTTTGTTTTGCGTACCTGACAACTTCAATACACAATTAGTTTGTTTATGTTCCGCATGTCTCTGTGTTAAATAAGAAATAAATAGTGAAAGAATTGAAATCTTTGTGAAAGGATCTTTTTCAATGAATATAGAATGTGTCACTTAAGAGAATTGACACTTAACGGGCTTAGCTTACTGGAAATAGAATGGCAAAAACAGTGGCTAACGTAAACAGATGCCGCATTTAAGCACCTAATCGAGATCGAGATACACACTCTACGTCACTTGCAGGTAACCCATTACAAGCAAAAATATATTTTGGTATTTTTAATTATAAAAACAGACTAATAGACACTAAAAAAAATTTTCAACTATCAAAATTATATTTGTACTAAAATATAAAATCAAAAAAATTCGTTTGAATTTATTTTCTTTCTTTATTTGGTTTTGTAAATTAAAGAAATTTCAACGACAAATAACTAATTCTCTTTGAACTAAATAAATGGAAATAATTGCAAATTTGAAGAATTATCGTTTGGAAGCTAACAGCGTGTATAGAACATTTCATATTAACTCAGAAAAAGACACTGGTGTTTAATGCTGTATTTCATAATCATAAAATATTAAAATGCTAAATATAATATTTTTCACTTAATTTGACGTAAATTAATACAATATAATGAAAAAAATATGAAAAATATGTTTAATTAAAATCCTGCGTTAAAGGGTTAAATGCGCAATTCGAACTCTCTTAGCAATAAAAAATTCAGTAACGATTTGTTACAGTCAATTGAACAATATTAACTGAAAAATGTTATGAATAAAATAAAAATAAAAGTTTTTAGTGAGTGTTGCGGCTCTAAATTTAAGACAAAACACAACGGGATAGATTTAAAAATTATAATTCACTTTGAAGTAAATGCAGCATCACAGCTGGACATCGAAGAAATGAAAACTTATTTTGGGCGGAGGATTTTCTTTTTGCGGCACACTACACCACAAAAGCATAACAACTACTCAAAAAAACAAAAACATTAGTAATTTTATTCTTTCAAAAAGTATGTCTGTTACTAAAGCCGTTTTATTACTATAATCACCCAAAAACCTCGATGAATTTTGAAAGGACTTGTTTTTAGACAAGTAGAAAAATAGACGAGTTTCTTTTGTTGGGGAAAAATGTTAAAATTACTCTGTATTTCTCTTTTTTTACATGTAACCGCTTTAATAATAGGTTAACTTATTAATATTTACGGTGAAATTATTATACTAGAGCTTAACAATTTTTTCCTTTAAAATTTTTTTTTTTGTTGGCACAATTGAAAAAAAAAATAATGCAGTAAAAGTAAAATATGAAAAATTTGTGTTTTGCTAATAAAAACTTGTATATTGGAACGAACAATTCGGTGAGATATAATAAACTAGACGTTGATATTGATGGTAATACATTTTAAGTGGGGGGTAATTCTGAAATCATATCTTTTAAAATCATAGTGTAAAGGAATAACAAATTATTACTTTAACCCCATGTTTGAAATCGTGTTGCCAGGAAGGGTTTTAAAATGACCTTAAAAATTATAAAGATGTGAATGCATAAATGCAGTATAATAAATATTCATTAATCCAGTAAAGCCCAGTCACAAGAAGTTGTTTATTTATGAAAAAATCTTGTATGAAAAATGTGATAGTACGCATTTGTTTATACCAATAAGCCGATATTTTTTTCTTTTAGCTACTACTTTAGCCTTAAAAAAGATAGTATTAATAAGGTATAATTTTGGTAGGCGGAATCATCTTGTTTCTTCAAATTAACTCCTAATAATAAAACCCTTGTTCAACCCCCGTTTTTCGTTCTTGGTAAAAAGAACCGTCTTTTAAAATGACACCAAGTACAAATGAGTTAAGTCCTGTGTTATAAGCCATTAAATCAGTATTAAGTATCCAAGCTACTAAGCTTTGTCTCAAAAATTGAGTCAACTGGAAGTTACTTTAATTGACTTTTTTGACCAGAAAGAAAGATGCAGACCTTTTTTTTAAAACTCAGATTTTGATTGTATTTGTTTCTGTAACTGTTTTGTTATTGTAACTGTTTTTTTTCTTTTGCAAAATTCTCCTAAAATTTAATATCTCTTTATTAATTTCTTTCTCTCTCTCTGACTATATATATATATTATATAGTATAAAATACATAATCCTTAGTTGCTGTAGGTTTCTCTTGTTTGTTTTTCTTGGGGCAGTCGGGAGATGGTTGTTTGCTGTAATATACCACCAACAGCCGAAACTGCTTCCACACTGACTGCATCATAATGCTCCCATGACGAAGCCGCCATGTATGTTCGGGCATCCACTTTAATTTTGTTTTAGTGTTTTCCTTCTTGATTTTTAGGATGTTATTTCCTTTTACAAACTTTCGAGCATCTCCTGATCTCTTGTTGTGGTATTCCCACGGTAATATTTAGTACATTATATCCTGCTAATGTTTTTCGAATTTCTCCTATCGTGGTAATCCTTATATATATATATATATA